CAAAGTACGGAAAGAAATCACGTAAGAGCCGAGCATGCTTTCAATTACATTGCATGAAGAATGTAGTCGATTGATCAGCGGGGAATCGACTCATAGGTCATGACGATTCGATGTCGACTCACTGTCACGATGTGTTGTTGTCGAACTAACCCATACTGTGAACAAAACACGTAACAAAGTTATGCTAAAAGTCAAGTGAAAGACATTCCTACACGTCTCACGTATCGACACTGAGATAATCATCACCATTAATAACAAACTCTTAAATCCTCTCAGTAATCCTTATAAGCACCATAAGAGCATTTGTTTTGTTTAGTTCGTGAGAAACTTTATACAACAGAATCCCGCAATTGAGTTTAGAAGTTCTTTTTAAATGATGTAAATTACGCAAATGTTATGTTTCTGTCAGGGTAAAGCGAATCCGAGTGCTCCAATATTTCAGGACTGTTTCCCAATTAATTGATTATATAACAGTAATCAGTGGGAGGTGTTCTTCATAAAATACAAGATGGAAATTCAATTTTAAGTCTAGCAACATTTCCTTTGCGTCATTATGAAACCATCACCTACACATGGAACAACTGACAAATGTGTGAACGTGAATATTATCGCGAATTCAAAGGGGGCGGGGGTGTTGTTTGTGGCTTAATGAGGCCCGTCTGTCCGAATTTGATCACTGGTTACCAAGTAAGACTTGGCACATTTTTGAAATGGTATGACACCCCCCCCCCCTCCGCCCGAAAAAAATAAATCGCGCATCCGCATGACGGAGAGGGAGACAGTTAGTGGTAACATTGGCAACATATATGGGAGATTCAGCCAGACATGCTAAGGACAGTGTCATAGTGTTTTGTCTGATGTATTCAAATGGGGTAGCCGATGTAAGGGCGATGTTCCTTATTCAGGAGCATACTACTGTGTGTTTATTGTACACAGTCACGACCGGGTGATCCCGGTGTTTACAATATTCTCAATAGCGCGAGAGGTGTGTCAAAGATCGTAATAGAGGACGTCTTTGGTAGAAACCATGACGTTATATTCTCCAGGTTGCGATCACACGTGATGGTCACAAAACAGCAACACAGTGACAGACGTACTGGGTAACCATTTTGTAAAGGCATTTGTCCTTCGCTAAAATACGTTTCATTACACACCGAATATCGGCTCACTCCAATCATTCCAAGGCTGTGACGGTGGTCGTATGTGATAATAGCAGTTTAAATAAATGAAGTCGGTGCCCCGCAAACTTTGTTTACCACACAGGTCGGTGTATGACACTATTGGTAATTGTGGATATGCGTGAAACCTCGCAGATTGGCGGGATTCGCTGCACGGAACGACTTCAGGTATACATTCAACAAAAATTGGTATGATAGTATTAATGTGTATACTACGCATAGTAGTATACTTTGTGTCAGTAGAACACCCTAACGTTTACACTGTGATTTCAATCAAATATGTTAATTTCCTGTGTAATCATAGTTATTTATACGCCGCGTGTGTTTTGTTGTCAAGTTTTTCTTGGGAAGTGCGACTGGAGATATGTCACAAACGCGTGTTTTTGATACGGCAAATCTGTTGGTTAAACTTAAAAAACGTGTAACATTTTACTTTAAAGGGATTTTAGAAGCAACATAATTGAAACGCCAAAATTCGTTGCTACTTTGATTGTTTTATAAGAAATACCTGCACGTCAAGTTATTTGGCCTCACAATATTTTGGATTAAAAGTTTAGTTGTAGTACGACAACCAGACTGACCCAAATAACCTCCGACTAAATAAATAAGTGATCATTTGTAGGGGTTCAGCGTCACATAATAGATTTTGTCGGATTACGTCATAAAATTTGCCACTTTGTCCATCCTCGTTCGCAGCTAGCAAAGTTACAATTACTGGGCTAGAGACTATTCTCATAACATCACCACACACAGAGACGAGTTTTTAAGTAATTTTGAAATAAGTTTGGATCTAGTAAACTTACGTTGTTCGGTAATAATCGATAGTCAGCATTCTCACCCGCTACGTCGACTTATTTTGGGCTCACGAGAAAGTGTCGCAAAAGGTCGCTGTTTTACGACGACGGTGACCGTACGGCTAAAATGGCGGCATTGTATTTAATTTACGCATCACTATTGAATGAACATACTATCAAATGTAGGATCTATGTCGCACCAATAATTAGCTGGCAGAGAATCGAGGTATGTGGCGAAAGATAACACAGCGAGGTTGGTTAAAATGTGACTTTAATGCCTCGAGATATTTCATGAATTCAAAATTTAAAGTACACTCAAGAATAGTAACATATATTTGCTGATAGACATGCGCACAAATGTTAATGTTTATATTGTGTTATTCTGCTTACTGTGAGGTAATCTCAAACAGAGGAGTGCCAAGCATCGGGGCTGTGAGTGTCTAATTGTAAAAGTTACAACTTAATTTTCGAAAAAAAACAGTCAGATGCAATTACCTAGTATATGCGTTTCTATTGACAACGAACATAGATATATGAAGTCAACTACTAGTCGTATACAATGTATTGTCTCAAATTTGAACTTGCGGTTGATTCGAAATAAACAACGTTAATATCAAATGAGTTAACAGCAAAGGGGAAAGTTGATTGGTGGGATTCGCTGCACGGAACGACTTCAGGTATACATTCAACAAAAATAGGTATGATGATATTAATTTGTATACTACGCATAGTAGTATACTTTGTGTCAGTAGAACATCCTAACGTTCACACTGTGATTTCAATCAAATATGTTAATTTCCTGTGTAATCATATTTATATATACGCCGCGTTAAAAAGTTCGTCCACGCATGGCCGCATTACAGTCTATTTGGACGACAGAGGGCGCTGCAAGTAACAACAGTAATGCATTTGTATCGATACGTGCTCGTTATCACCTGGTAAATAAAGTGTATCGTGTTTTTAACACGTGTTTATTCTTCTGGGTAAAATTCTGGCGTAACTAGGATCACTGTTTCGCGAAATAAACAGTGAGATAACCCAGGAACGTTATGAAGAAGTTGTTACTAGTGCATCGGCCGGCGAAGTGCAACATGACGCCAACGTGTTTCATGTTATATTTTGATCATCTGGTTAAAGGTTTTAATCAATACTTGTTCTAGCGAAATAATGATACCGAACTTAATTAAATTTGTCATGGCTAAATTCCTTTATTTAGTTTTAACAATATGACACTCTGACTGAATATTTGAAATCTATAATAGCGACACAATATGCCCGTGTCAATATCAATGGTAATATGTTTTGTTTGTTTGTTTATTACAATAACAAAAAAAGCCATTGGCCCAAGGAGCAGTTTCATTTAATTAAGTTTATACAATGGTAACAGTGAAATACATTTAAACTAATAAAAATGCAATGCAAATGCAAAAATATACACAACTAGATAACTGTTTTAAATTGTTAACATTTCTTGAACTCATAAGTAAGATATATTTAATGATATATATAGTTCATAATTGTCTTCCCTTTTCACGCAGATTGTGAGACAACGTGACTTTGATATTAAACGCATCTTTAAATTTGAAAAAAAAACATGAATGCAAGACAAATATTTTAATTAAATTTTGATATGAGTTTGAAATTTGCGTCGTGCCAGTCTTCTTGCGCACAATTATTATTTGTCTCTGTATAATGGGAAAGTAACAGACTTTTTGACCCCACACCTTGGTTCATCCATACATGGCCGAATCCAAAGCGAAGACGCAGCATTTTTACATTGTACGCTCAACATATACGGCGTTATAACATTTTGATATAATAGGTTAATCTTTCAAAAATTAAATAATATTTAAAAGGATATCTATCAGCATCCATTGTAATAATTTCAGCCAATAGCTAAAGCATCTTTTAAAGTAAAGATAATAAGAGTGGAAATCGACCACATTCGCCAACAGCTGATTTATTACTATTTATTACGTACACCGAGTTATTACTTACACCGAGTAGAAATTTACAAAATTGATTCTGAACTTGTTCAATTTGAGGCACGTTTTCTTATCACCAGATTTCACTACCATATAATAAGTTTGGCACAATGATGGAATCAAATAATTCAAATGAATTAGATATAGTCATACCACCAAGTTTTCGAATCAATACTTTAAGTTGAAAAATTGCTTGTTTACTCTGTGCCGATTGGTTTAGCGGATTACAACTAAATATGTAAGAAAATAATACACTAGTACTGATAGATAATCGTAATTTCATGATCGCGATAAAAAAAAAAAAATTCACTTTGCTTAGGATAACTACCCATTTGAAAGAAAAACAATTATCTGTGTTTTTTTGTTTTGTGTGAGTATTTATTTGTCGTTGTGTGTGTATTGGCATAACCAGTACTAGTGTATGAAACGAGGTCATTGATAAATATAGTAACTAATATAGGGCTAAGCATATAACCGTGACGTGTCCCGATAGTGCATTCAAAGTATTTAGTGAGACCACCAGATGAAATTACAGATTGCAACTTCTTGTACATTTAGCGGATAATCGACAGGAATTTGCTATGTCTACCATATTTGATTAGTTTCGATCACAGAAAATCGTGTTGAATCGAATCAAACGCCATTTACGATTCGTTTTTAAAATCTTACTTGTTACAGAGAGAAAGGAGATACCTTGTAATGTGTAGTGGCTAGGTGATGGCATCAACGTTACAAACACCTTATCGAACCTGGGCCTGGCCTTAGCAGTGCTATCACAAACTAGAATTTGACGTCTCTTTGCTAGTCATTTACTGCCAATTCCCCTTATTCTTAGATATTACATAACATCTAAACTAATGTCACATTCTGTGAGATCACCAGCAAATGGACATTAAAAGTATACACTCATCGTGAGATCAACGGTTCCAAACAAGCGTAAGTATATTCGTTCTCGAACGACTCTTTATAGAAGGAAGTTTTAACCGGATACAACGTTTGACATGTTTGTGGGGTCATGCTAACTTAAACAATTATTCATGGTGTTAATCCATTGCAATGCTGACCAACAACTTTCGTTGTCCAGTAAATCCCAACCGTGCATGCTGCGTATACACATTATCTAAAACAAGCATGTCGCTTTTCTTTAACTGAAATCCAACAGACAACTGCCAGGCGATGTCACGAAGATGTTGCAAGGTTCCCGGCTCCACGACGCTTCCGTCGCCGTAGTAAGAGTGAAATGGATACCTGTCATCCGAGATATTTCGGTTTTTCCACGTGGGATGATCCTTGAAGTAGGATGCATTGTGTGAATGTAGTTGATTAAACCACACTTCCTCCCCTGTATGATAAAATGTATGTCTTCACTATCAATTTGATTGCCGTATTCAGAAATTAAAATTGCGAAGTTGGAAATGATATTGATACGTAAAAATTAAAGGGCGGCAGACGCCGTGCCGCGCCCTGTTCGATATGGGACACATAGCGACGTATACAACGCGTGTAAAATACATTGTTTGTTTACATGAAATTCGAACACGCACTGCGCGACGACCACCGCCCTTTAATAATCGTAAGCAGATACAAAAACTATAGCAACAGTCAAATATATCGCCACAGATACGATGCCAATAATAGCGAGATTTTACAAATAATCAAGCGTATACTAAAACCAAAAGTTTGATCTTAAATGTAAAGAATCTATCTGAAATATACCAAAATTCCTGCCATAAGAAAAGTTTGAGCGATTGGCGATGCAATTGGCGAAAAAGTCCAAATTTATAGTGGCATTTAAATCATAATTGTCGCCTTTGCGAAATATTGAAAAACACCATTAGTGAGCAAAGATGACTTACCTGTTTTAGGATGTTTCACAAACGCTGGCAGCGTATACCAATATGATAATGAACCATCCTCGTTCCAGCAATACGTACGATTGCGTTTCTCCATGAACCTTTCGATGTCAGCTTTATTTTCAGTGAAGAATGCCTACAATACACCGTGTATCAAGAGACTTAACAATTTATACAATATTTAAAGCGCCAAAACGACGGCGTTTATAATAATAATAATAATAATAATAATACCGAAAAAAATAAATTTTCGGATTACATTGTGATACGACATCTTCGGGGCCATTGTGTGTAAATATGCACAATATGTGACCAACATATACCACTCAATGTACATGTTATGTTTTATTTGTTATGTTTTATTTGAGCAATAACGAGACCAACTCATAATGGGCGAGAGCACAAAGTGTGCTTGAGTTCATTGTGGATTGGGAGTTCATTGGCGTTATTATATTCTAGTGTTGTCGATACTTTTATAAAATCCCGTCAGCTCTTGTTGCCTATCCAAAGCGTTCTCTTTTTCCTGCTAACAGTATATAGGTCGACTGAAACTGAAAGTGGTCCAGTTTCGCAACTAATGTGATACACTTCACTACAAAAATTAAATCCCCCCTATTTTCGTTTATTGTATTTTAATTCCAATGGTTAGTCTTGTTTTATCGGCCTCCATATCTCGCGGTAAAACTAGCTACCGGGTTGCGCTAGACGCGCTTCATTTGCGGAAGTGCCCGTACATAACCGGACACTGCAAAGCGTACGCGAGAGCAAACGAATACGTAACACGATAATTATCGTATCACGATATCGAACTGTGTACAAATGTTTACGTCCGGTATCAACTATGACAATTTGTAGCAAAGTTGTTTCATTCGTAATTTTTAACAACGATCTAAAGGCGGAATTCAGCGAAATCACGTTGTACGAAAGCACAAAGAAATCACGTCACGGAATCACGTCGTCCAAATGAGTAGGCGCGAGTGAATTACAATTTCGTCCAGCAATTTTTTTTCTTCTTCTATCGGCCCATTCTATTTCTATGTGAATGTAACATACGTACATGTCGTATCAACCCTGAACGTAATAATGACCAACCCCTTTATATAAAGAAACAATAATAATAATGTCAATAATAATAATATTATTTTTAATTGTTCATGAAGGTGAAGGAGGCACCTCGGTAGATTTGGTAATTATTTTAACATACAAGCGGGAACCAAAGGTCATTGTAGATTAATACGGTTTATTGTGTTACTGATGTTAAAGTAACGCATGTATTGATAACAAAACATTAAACTATGCGACAAATACATACCACCCACATTATAATATATATAATTACAAATTTTGTTTTTATACCAAACATTCCAAGTAAATGAAAAAAACAGTAAAATTCGCAGTCGCAATATTTCACAGTCATAACAAACATAACTATCACATTAACAAGCACGTATTTATTAACAGATGAAATCGTGTATGACGTCTCAAACGTAATACAATGTACATAGAAATATTAATAATAAACATTAAATCAAAAAAGTAATCATTTGCAACTCATTAGGTTTGGGACTTATGTACAACTGATATTTACTGAAATTCATTAGCTAACAATGGTGAATACTTAAATCAAATGCACAATAAACTGAAACAAACAATAACATCTTTAACAATCTTTCTTTGATATAAACAAACTCGTAAAATTTCTTTTTCTGACTCCATAGTGGCAATGAAGAGATCTGGTGGCATTGCTGCCTCAAATACCATCTCTTCGAGCACATCCGATTCTCGCGAAAAAGAAAAAAAAAACACTTGAAAGTTATTAAATAGGGAAATTAATCTCATTAATCGATTACTTTCCATATTGGCAAAATCGTCTACTCCGCTCCAGTAAATTTTAATTTATGATTACTTTTGTTCTGAGCAATGCGATATTTGAATCAGAATTGTGTGATGTACAATATTATATCAGTGTGTATAATTCCACATACCTGTCGATGTCTGTTAAATGTGCCTAAACCTTGCTTGGCAACTCAGATCATGTATCTAATATCGAAAACAAATATGTACAGCATAGAATCTTCTGACCATGTGAATACGTGACTTTGTAACAGACAGCAACCCGCAGGGCTACCGATCCTGCTCAATCAACTCAATTTTCGACACATTTTGTAATGGGGACACTGCCTAGTGTATTTAAGATAACTTTCAGTTCCCATCTTTATTGTAAATCCGCTGTTGACCTTGTCGAGCAGACCTTATCATATGAGTGATTGTCCGTCGTCGTTCGTCGCCGTCCGCGTCAACTTTTTACTTTTTCGACTTCTTATTGAAAACTACAAGTCTGATTGCTTTGATACTTGTTATATATGTACCTTGGGTACACCCTTCTTGGATTTGTTCATTTCGTAATGATATCTTTAATTCTCTAATTTTGGTGAATGTTTTTGGCATTTTTAGTAAAAAGTGATATTTTCGACTTCTTGTTGAAAACTGCAATTCCGATTGCTTTGATAATATACGTGTAATTACCTCAGGTAAACCTCTCAGATTTGTTCATTTCGTGATGATATCTTAAATTCTGTGATTGAAATGTGCATTGCTAACAGCGAAGCTATCTCAGCCGAGAGGCTGCTTGTTCATCTTTAAACGCCTTCGGCCGAGTTGTTGTTTCTTCTAGTCGCGAAATCTCAGTCAGAAAGATTGAAATCAGCTGAACTGAACTTAAATTTTGGACACACTCAGATGGAATGCGTTAACTGGAGGCGGGTATATTATGATTTGTTTCATTGCACTGAGTGTTGGCGCATTAGAATGTGACAGATGAAAATAATCATTATTTTAAGCGGAAAACTATCCTATCATAATGCCAAACACTATTAGTAAGCATGCTATAAATATGACCAGCTTATACCGATAGAAAATCTGACATTAAAAGTTTCTCCTAATAATTATTCTTTAGAATAATGATGCTGGATGCTATTAAATAATTAATTAATATCACAATAAGGATAATAATATAATGACACTAAATTAAGAACATACTATTACATATTATTCTAAATTTCATTTTTTACATGCGATTTGATAAAAGAATTTCTAAGACGTGGCCAACTAATATAATCACATGAGATTTGAACTAATGAAATTGACTTCCTATTACATGTAACAGAAAAGTGGTTGCAAATCAAATATTGCTCAAAATGAATTTTATTTTTCACATGTATGTCCCTTTACCTCTTGCCAACTAGTATATCCGCCAGGAGACTTGGATGGAAGGTGCCGTACATATTGTATCCCATGCTCTCGCACCTTGTCAACAATGTGGTTGTCCACCCTAGGTAATATTTTGCGCACGTCAGTTATCACAGTTTCTCCTCCACATCCCTCCCCAGGAGGAATCTCGCAGTAGAAAAATATCTGCAGAGTGACGAAACATCAAACAAATCAGTCGAAGCAATGATGAAAATAAAAATAGTTTTCTATGAAAGGTCAATTTTATGCTGGGTAACCTATCCTAGTAAACTTCACCTAAAAACATACAAAGTTATGGGTTAATATCGAATTTATTATAATGATAATTATATTATTACACTTTTATATGGCGCCTAATCCCTATACGCTTCACAATTTAGAAAAATACAATTGAAAAAAGAATTTCATTCTAAAGCATAAATACTTAAATTAAAACATGGTTGCTTTAATAAGATGTTAACATCACACGAAGTGGTGGAATAGCAAGCAGATACCAAGCAAGCTTTCGATTGGGAATATAGACTGAAAATCTCAGATAGTTCAATTGTCATGAATAATTATAGCTAACAAAACAAAGACATGTACAATATGGTCAATGTAGATCATACACAAGCCAGTAGGCTGGTTAGCGATCTTCTCCGCTCAAAAAACAGCCGTAGGACATAAACGTGAAGCTAACGTCGGTTTGTCACTAAAACCAGACCCCATATACGAAGTTCGCAAAAGCATTCAGTCTTCAGATGTCACTTCACTTTATCACTAGCTCTTATTCTGCTGTTATAATTATCATTTCCAACCGTTTCTCGATTGTACTTTCTAGATTCTTTGATTGAACGCAACATTTGCAGTGGCATTCAAAGCTCAAAGTTGCGTTGGATTACGTTGATGCAGTGTTGATGATCTCTTGTCGGTGCGCAACTTAGCCAAAATAAAAAGCATGATCACTTGAGCATTGCTATAACTTTGCTGAGTAGAATGAGCTATATCCGAAGTTTTTATTCCTAGAATAAATTATTGTAGAATGAGATACATTTGGCGCGAAGGTAATCCTAAAAATCAGTTTTTTGGCTGTTGCATTTTAACATCTTACCATCTAACTAGAGTGAAGAAGAATTAAAATGCCGATACAGCTGTTGAGAAGTTACCCCAACTTTGAGGTCAAATTTAACAAAACATACCAAAAAAACAATAGTAACTTTGTGCCCAATATTTCTGGTGTCGAGGCAGGCAGAACGACATACATTATTTAAATGAGTTTGTATTCAGTATACAAATTAACCATTCACCGTTGACATTTTGTATTTCTTCAATGACGGCGAACTGATGCCGGCAATTATAGAACAATATCACCACTTTTGTAAGATAAATGAGAGGGAGAAATGCTCTAGCGTATATCTTTATTGGTATTCAGCTATCTCAAATCTATTGTCACGGTAATGAGCATGTTATTTGGGTTACTACAATGGGGCCAATCTAAAGCCAGTATATATATATATTATATAAGCAACATATATATGGCAGACGTGTGCTTACCTTTGACGGATAAGTATCCGTGTAAGACATCTCGTTATGTGGTTCAATCGTGTAAGACGGGGGGTCGTTGCTGGCTGTCAATACGCTTCTTGCAACCTTATGGCGGACTGCGACGCCTCCTTCATATCCCGACAGGGAGTAGCCAAGACCACTCATAAACCTAGAGAAATCGTCGGCTTTTTCTAAAGGCATGCCTCTGAAGAGGATGGCTCCGTGTATATGAAGTTCGCGTTCAATCAAATCCCGTGCAGTTTTGGAAAGATTTTCCATAGTATCCTCCCGGAAACCCTGTAGTTTATATGCACCAGACAGAGTATACACGGCGGGAAAATTGTCCCGAGGACTGGCAATATACTGCGGGTATTTATTCAGCGAGGACCGACCACCCGCTAACCACTGCCGACCGGCCAAACGGGATGACATCAACGGTCTTTCTAGTCGTTTTTTATAAATGAAGCTCATTGCGGCAGCAGCCAAGGTGTACGACCTTGATAGCATTGGTTTTGTAGCGGTGGCATGAGTTGTATATTGTAGCGAGTTCGAAAGAGTGGCGACGATTATCAACCTCATGATTCGGATTTGTGGTAGATGTTATCAAAAGCCCAGACACGTTAAAATGACAAAATCACGCGATACTTTGCACTGTGACCACTGATTGACTTATATTTTTTTTATGCTGATACTATAGCCCATCGATGACGTCTAAACGTGTTTGTTACAAATAGTTGACCATAATTTATGCTATTGGTCGCGAGGCATTCAAACCTTTGTGGGAACAGGCCACACTCGATCCCAGACAGTTATTTTTAGACAAACTCAAACGAAGAAAAACAAAACAAATACAGTTGAATCACACACACCAATAATTAATATACTATGATTATATTACAAGGCCAAGACAGTATTTGGTTTTATAAAGACACAGAACTGATTCGGATCCATTCATTTTGTGTTAGCTTGTTTAGTAAAGCGATCGAGGCTCACGACAATAATATTTGTTTTGGGGTCGTGAACTACATGCATATTTTCTTTTGTGCTATTGGGAGTGCGGTGATTTTTAAGTTACTCACATAGCCCAGTCTCTATAGTAAACCTCAGACTATTACTAGTCTGAGAGTAAACTAATGGAACATCGAGTGGATACCGAAGTCCACAGGTGCTCGGAACGTTTCTTGGATAATAAAAAAGGACCTAAAGTGGGGTCGGTATACTTTATCATATAGTCAGTCGCTGGTACATTCGCCGACCACTCATATAATAGCACAAGGCAGGAAAGCTGTAATTTTGCTCTGGTGTTTCTTTTTTTTTCATAGGATTTTACCCGTTTTATTTCGAATAAAGGTAATATAAGTTGATTGATAGTTTCTACCGATATCATACTTGAGTTGTGTAAAACCAAAGACATTAGAAATGTCTAATTTTCTAATGTCTTTGGTAAAACAGGGCGAAATATAATTTCGCAAATCGTGTTATTTTCGGACAATTTCGATGTCATGGTGGAAAAGCTTTCCTACCTTGTGTTATTATATGAGTGGTCGGCGTATGTATCGGTCACCGACTATAAAGTCTACCGACCCTACTTTAGGTGCTTTTTTATAGTTTCCTTTTTATTATTCAAGAAACACAAAACGTTCCGAGCGCCTGTGGCGAAATCTGGTGTTTATACAAATATACCGCCGCGGTTTTTTACTTACGCGTAATAATTTAGGTGAACGTGGATGCACTCGTTCGTGTCAAGTGTTTTAGACGCAATCAAACATTGCCAAACAAAATTATTTTGCATCACCCACACGACCCACAAGTGTTATGATAGCGACTTCACGTCTGCACACTCGGTTCACACGCCATTGCACTATTGTTTAGAATCAACAACTTGCATGTTTAGGGTGTAGATTATAAACATATATTTCAGGAATTTGATAAATACTTATTGTATTTAGTAGTGGCGACTTTGTCAGGCTTTAACCGTGAGACACATCCCTGGTAATCACGTGATCGTGCCAACGACTGCAGTGATTGGCTGATCGCATGTTTACTCTGTCACGCCTTAGAGACTTGAGTAGAGATAAAGAGTTTTTAACCTTTTGTAAGGAACGAACGAGAGAAGTAGACAGCGAGGGGTTACCACAGCTGACTGCTTTTGTGAATAAAGGTGGACTATCTGTAATGAACTAATGTGTATTCTTTTGGGTCGAATATGGTATCTGTACGTGTAAGTGTTATCAGCTATTAAGTTAATCCAGAGTTAGCGGTTCCAGCGCAATATAAACGTTACCTTGGGATTGTGTTTTCCCCAAGTGTTCAAATAATAGAAGCTGACATTTTTGGACTAACGTTATGTAATTGAAACACAAAACAAAAGTATTAGAAAAAGTTCCAAACGGTTGTTTGTGTGTTACTTGCTTACAATAGAGGCTATAGTTAATATGGGCAAATGATTTGCTTGAACCATTGGTAAATTTATGTAATTGTGATGTCTTTGGTTATGTCATTTGAATCAAGAGGGGGAGGTTAAAGTACTTGATCGGAAAGAATGATTATATTTGTTATTTGGCAGTGAGTGGCTTATTTGTACTTGACTGTGACCCACCCACCACTCGATTGTAATTTGACCAGTTGCTATTAGACATCACTAGCATGACTAGTTGGAAGACAACCATGTAAAAATAGTGTGAATAAAATAATCGTCTGTAATGAACAAGGAAATAATAAAGTTTTTATTTTTTATTTAACCAACAATAAACAACAAGTTTACAAAAAACATTCGAGTAAGAATAAAGTAAAAAGTTTAACTAATAGAAGATACAGGTGATGGTTGAATTATCTCGCCTGGAAGAAAATTAAAAAAAAACAAGTAAGTGGTAAGAATTATATAATTGTAATGAATGATTTGAGTAAGGCGTTGATTAGAGGAATGTTCAACAGGAAGAAGATTGTTGAAATAGATAATGCTTTGGAAATGATTGGACTTTCCATAATTAAATCTTCAGGCACATTGTAAATAACTGGTGAGAGGATGCTGAAAGCACTACCGTGCATTCAAGCATCCTCTCAATAAACACAGGTTATGCACATTTATATTATAATGAGGTAAATTAGTGTTGTAAACAGTATGTCATGATTAAATCTGGTATGATGTGAATGAAACGACTCATGGTGCAAAAGCGCATAATTGTTGACGGAAGACCCAAATGATAGGTATCACCACCGACAACCAATTTGGAAGTAGTCATATTGCCGAAAATACTATATCTTTCAATAAGTATATGTGCTGCAACGATAAACTGTACAAAACCAGTAGTTAACTGTTTACAACATTGTACAAGACAGTATTATAGACCCATATCATGCAAAGTTACAGGGTGTTGTACAAATATACCCCCCTTACTTTTAGGTTATTGTATGTTCATCCAACTGTCCATTCAGAATGAAGAGGAAATAAAGTAGGTGCAAAGAGACTATATGGAATGTAATTGTACTTCATAGGAATATCATCCCATCAGACTGATAGAACCCGTAAGTATAATGAATTTATCGCTTGGCAATGGCAATGTGCCATCTGACATATAACCGGAGTGAATTGACCATGTGCAAAAACAGCATTGTTGGTTTGCATAAGACAGCCCACACAT